GAGAGAGAGAGAGAGAGAGAGAGAGAGAGAGAGAGAGAGAGAGAGAGAGAGAGAAAAGAGAGGTATGTTCCCTTTTTCTCATTGGGATCCACCCATGTTTTTTCGTGTGACTTACTGTTTTCTGATACTTTGCCGGTTCGAGGTTTCGGTTTTTACCGATTTGTTCTGAATTACAGTAGTCGTCATAGCCTTTGCTCAATTTGTCCCTTCCTGCGCAATCCGACAATCGCAGATGTTTCAAAACCACCTGCAGCGTTTTTGCAACGCTTTGGGTTTTTATAGAATTTTTTCAATTTCGAATAGAATTTTCTATCCAGAATATTATTATTGGTACAAAACAATCGGAGCTGTGGAAGAGAAACGACGGTGTAACTGACCGAAGGTCCCACAACGACGACTACAGTAATCTAAAAACACCGTAACACCTGTATTAGAAGGGCAGGTCCTTCTATTGTTCCAAGACACCTCCGGAGGGCCCTTCAAACAACACATTGTTCTAAGCCCCTTTCAGAGGCCCCTTATTAAAGGGGTCCTTTTAATGCAGGTTTTACGGTACATGTATTTTCCGGATTCATTTTCCCGATTTTACAGATTTTTGTCGGTTTTTCTGTTATTTTTTTTCCCAATAGGTAGAAAATTAAAAATTTTGACCATGTTAATTTTTATTTTTCGACATTATTTGGAAAAAAAAACGGAGAATTCGACGGAAAACAGTCAAAAACGAAAAATTCTAAAGATATAAATATTTTTGGGTTACTGTAGTTGTCGTTGTGGGGCGCGACCGAAGGAGTTTCTCTACCATTTATTAATCTTCTATTTTCTAAGAACTGTCCCTTTAAGTGTCTGGCAGGACACTTCATCGAAATAAAGAAATCGGAAGCATTCGTTCTCATCTGGTAGCATCTGAGAACCCAAGCCAACACAAAATTTTGTGGTTTCCCATCAGCTGGGGTCCCACACAATTCCTCTCTCACCAGTTTCTTTACTATTTCCAATGTCCGTCCATCTTTTTCGGCCGTCCTCTCCTCCGTCCTCCCCGTCATCGGCCGCCGCCGCCGACACTTTCCCACGCTCGTTTTTCCCACCACCAGTTCCCTCCCACTTTTTTTTCCTCTCCTCTCTCCTTTCCGTTTTTCTCTTCTATCTTCTTTTCTCACACATTGTGTGTGCCTGGGTGAGTGTGAGAGAATGCCCGGAGGCCGTCCCCCCACCCTACTCCTAATAAAAGAGCATATGAGACGAAGAGTAGCAGAGACATGAGAAGTGTGTCCTCTCCTCCCTATATTCTCCCTTTTTTCCTTTCCTTCGTCTGGGGGCACCCCGAAGAACCCGACCGACCACACCGACACACAGCCCACAAGGCCAACCTTTTTTTCCTCCCCCCCCGACATGTTTTTCCCACGATACTTCCCATGAATCCACACGTTAAAAGTTTTAGGCCAATTGTTTCGTTTTTCTCCCGAGTTTCTAGCCTCTAGAAGAGCCGAACTACAGTATTCCTCTCCCAACTGATAAGAAACGGCGCAAGAGATACCGTCAGTGTCCTCACTCTCTCATTAACTTTGATCCTTTGTTTCACTGCGTCTCTGTGGGAACATACAATATTCAAACTGGCAAAGACAACACGTAATACAAATGATGCCTGCCTGGGAAACCCCCTAAAGAGAGAGGGAAGACCCTAGAAATTGGAGAAGGGAATGCTCAAATTAGTGGGAAGAAGCAGATTTCAGATTCAAGGAAGTTGCTCTTGCTCATCTCGTTTTCAAATTCCTACAATAATCTCTTCCCAATGACAACAACAGAATCGTTTCCCAACCAATTGAGTTAACAATGGCACTTACTTTTTAATGTACTCTGGGAGAGGAAAAAACGATGTGAACCTGCCCATTCCCACACACATTTCAAATATAATGAGCCGCTCAAATTTTCTCTATCGGAAATTTTTGATTCCTCCTCGTCGTCTGATAGTAACTCTTATCTCAACAATAGGCTCCGCCCACTTTTCTCCCGATTCTCTGCCGTTCTCGAAAAACCTTTTCCCATCCCAGACTCTCTCTCTCTCTCTCTCTCTCTCTCTCTCGAAGGAGAGAGAAAAATGGTTTTCTTCTCGTTTTTCCCATTCTCACACATTGATTTCCATATTTGTTTAGCTGGTATACATTCGAAAAATGTCATGACTCCCTCCCCTTGTGAGGTGTGATGGTCAGTGTGAGAAGTACCAGTTCTAATACTTCTTACAACTTTTTCTCACCAGAATCGTACGTTTCCCATACAAATCAAAAGGAGACGACGACGTTGACACAAGAGATTATATACAGTAATCCAGTACTATTATTACCGCAGAGATTTATGATGATTCCCTTGGCTAGCTGTTCTTCCGTAAACTAGAGAAAGTCATTCCTGGCATAATTTACGATTGATTCCTAGTGCTATTAACGTAAAACCTGCAATAGAAAGGCTCCCTTCACCTTTTACTTTGAGCCAATATATCCCGGCTCCGGTCAAAGATATTAAAAAGTTGTCAACTGACAAATTGTTTATCATAATATCATGAACATTTTATCAGTTAACAGATTGTTGATAGCTTGCATGGGAATTGATATAATTGAGCTCAAAGTTGATAGTGTGAGAGCCCTTCTATTACAGATTTTATGGTAAAATTGGAACCAATTTTTCCACACTTTTTATGAAACTTTTCCTTCCGTGTTATAGGTTTCGTTTTTGAAGAATTCGCTTCAATGCACCCAGAAATGAACAACTGAGCACCGCCTCCTCGAGAAGCTCTCCTCTTAAATCTGCAGGTTTCGAAATCTTCAACTTTGAAATTTCCGATTTTTCGAACTGGCTTCATAGCCTTTCTGGGCTGATCTGCAATTCAGAATTCATTATTGAAATGCTTACGGTATTCTGAGTTTCAATATTTGAATTCGGTTCTGAATTACTGGATATAATGGCCCGGGACATTTCGCAACTGCGACTTTTCGCTACCATGATGATACTGGCAAAGGTTAGAAATTACAAAAATGGTTTTAAAGCACGAAAGTTCCCTATTTTCATTTCTTCAACTACAAACATCAATTTTTATATATTTCTTCGAATTTTAGGCTGTGTTCCATCACAAAAAGCGTACTTGAAAAGCTCTAAAACAGTTTTTGTAGTCTTAAACCTATCCATTCGCCTGTATTATCAATGTGGCGAAATGTCGCAGTTGCGAAATGTCCCGGAGCCGTTTCTCGAAATTCGGAATAGAATATTCACGATTCTTCTTCTCAGAGTTTCGTTCGATCAAATTAGGTCCACTTTTTTGAAATTCGTCGTCATCCCTAGTTTTCGGATCATTGCTCATTCCTAAATTGTCCGGTTTTTGGTTATTTTACCTCCCGAAGTTATCAATTTTGCAACAAACTACCAAAACGCCATTCCTTCTATTTACCTTCATTCCGGCGGAGGTTGCTTCTCACGTCTTCTTCCTCTTCTTTATTTTATTCTTCCTATTTCTTATTATTATTTTCTTTCTCTTCAGCAGCTCCTCTTCTTTTTTACCGATTACCCACCCAACATGACCCCGTTTTTTGCCTCTCCTTGCCTTTTCCATCTATTCAATACAACAATTTTATGAGCGTGTTTATGTGGGTATCTGTGTTCATGGTGCATCTTTTTTCCTCCTATCTCTTTTCCGATACCGTGACAACCATTCTTCACTGTACACACTGTTTTTCGTGGGGAACTAATCACTATCACAGCAATTCATTCAAACCTTATCAATGATTCTGCTCTTGCACTCATTTTTTTCATTTCACACCTAATCTATTTTTTGAGAGGGCGACTTGTCGCACCTTGCACCTGCCAAATGGCAACATAAATCCAAGAAAACTCCGGCGATTAAGAGTTTTTTACTCTCCTGAGCAAGAAAAAAACGGCAGCACCAGCTCTAATAGTAAGATTATAATCTATTTCAAGAGCAAAAAAAGCGTTTATGGGAATACGAGACTTCTTCATATTAGAATAAAGGAGGTCAAGGAACTTAGCTTGTCTACTAATGCTGAGTAATTATTCCAGGAATTCAGTAGGGATCAAGAATCCAGTTTTCCTCATTTTTGAAATCCGTGATTTTTTTCTCCTATCCGACTTTTTTAGCACGTTCTGTATACGAAAAATGCTCCTAAAAATCTAATTTTCAGGAAAAATGTCGAATATTCTCTATTTTTAAAGCTAAATGGTCTAAAATCACCCGAAACTGGCTCAACATAGGCCGGAAATTTTCTAAAAATCCATAAAATTGTCGAAGAATTTCTCCAAAAATCGAAATTTCAATTAAAAATGTCGAATTTCCCCTATTTGTTTGCTGAATATAGCCAAAATATAGTCCGAAATAGCTAAAAATGTGTCAAAAACGGTGTAATAATCCTTATAAATGTCGAAAGTTGCCGCAAAAATTAAATGTTCAATAAAAAATACAAAAAATTTCCGTATTTTTTGAGGTAAATTTAGCTGAAAAGTAATCCGAAATTGGTTAAAAATGGTTAAAAATATGTCTGAAATACAGAAAATGGCCGAAAAATACCTCAAAAAAAAATCGAATTTTCCCTATTGTCGGAGCTAAATATAACTATCCGAAATCCACCAAAAAATGGCTCTGAATAGGTTGGAAATGGTCTGAAAACCCCAAAATTTCGGTTTAAAATGTCGAATTTTCCTTATTTTTGGAACTGAATTTAGCCTAAAAATGGTCCGAAATCAGCCGAAAGTGACTCAAAATAGCTCAAAATGGTTACAAATAGCTCAAAACAGGTCGAAAATAACTTAAAAATGCTAAAAATTATTGAAAAATCGCTCAAAAAAAAATCGAATTTTCCTTTTTTCGATGCTAAAAACTCACACAAAATATCTTTTAATCGGTCAAAATTGGCAAAAATCGACAAAATATGCCTGAAATACATACACTTTAAGCTCAATTATCTCGGTTCCTTCAAAAGATATCAAAATATTTTCACTTATCATAATATCACCAATATGTTATCAGTTGACAGATTTTTGATATCTCTCGTAGAAATCGAGATAATTGAGCTCAACGTTCTCGTAAAGGGTGGGCTTCTATTAGAGCAAATTCTTCTTTTTCTACCCTATCACCCATCTTTATCCCACCAGTTCCCTACAAATCTGTCCTTTCCAGTTGACCATATCATTATCATCTTCTGATCAATATCTTTTCACTTGTCTCATCCTTTCTTTTTTTCAAAATTTCTCTGCTATCACTAATTACTCCTCCTGTCTCCTCTCTCTTCTCTCTACTTCTTATCACCAACTCTCTTTTTCCCATGCGAAAAACGGGGGAATCCCCCTGTTGCAGGTTCAAGTTGATATCATTCGGAAACCTGTTTTTCACATTCATTATATCAACTACTGTTCTTTCTTTTTCCCTCCTCCTCCGCTCACTGTTAAAATTGATTTTTTTCTTGGATAGTTTTGATAATTCTTTTCCGCAAAACTAAAAGAAGGAAGTGTTCGTTATCATCATCTTGTCTACTGACCACTTTTTGCCTCTTTTGTAATATAACCTTCACACCAATTTAATTTCCCCAAGTGATAACAGTAGATCGTGTCGTTTCCCCCATTCATTCATATATGTTTTTGCAAGGATAGAGTTTAACTGTAAACACCCAAAAAATGAGGACGATATGGCGATATCACCGGACAAAATCGAATTCTGAAGAAGGAAAAGACCGTAGAATGTTGTTTTTTGTTTTTAACAGAGAAAAAGAACCGGAAGAAGACGTCGTGTGATTTCGATGGACTTTTGAACTGAAATTCAAGGAAGTTGAAAGTTTAAAATTTGCAAAAAATGTTTTAAAATTTCCATTTCGAAAATTCGAGAGTGGGCGGAGCTTAGATCCTGTAGCGAAATTCCTAAAAGAGCCTCACACCAAAATCACGGTATGCGCCTTTAAATTTTTCGAAATTCGCGGTTGGACCCAAATCTAGATTTTTTTGTACTCAGTTACGTTTCAGAACCCGACGTTTCAGAACTTTTTTGCATTTTTTCATAGTGGTTTTTGTACATAAAATGAGTATTGCTCATTTCAATTCGCTTTTTTTTGTTCTCATCTACCGTACTTCAAATAATGATAGGCTCATATTCGGAAATTTTCAAAAAACCGAAAAAAATTGAAATTTTCACAAAAAACAATGTCTAAAAGTACAAAAAAAATTTAGCCGGAGAATATGAGTTTCATTTTTGCATACGTTCAGCAATGACACCGTTTACGAAAATGTCAATTTTTTTCGATTTTTTGAGAGTTTCCGAGTGTGAATCATTGTTTGATATCACCTATCATTATTTGTACGGTACGGTACGGTACGGTAGATGAGAACGAATAAAAAAACAACAAATGGAAATGAGCAATACTCATTTTATGTACAAAAATCACTATGAAAAAATGCAGAAAAGGTTCCGAAACGTCGGGTTCTGAAACGTCATGGTTCCGAAACGTCGGGTTCCGAAACGTCGTGTTCTGAAACGTCCCGGAGCCCCACTTTCGAGTTTTGAGCCGCAAAGGGCGTCGAAATTAGATCAGAGTAGTACTGGAAATTTACTTTTCTATCGCGGCTCCGAATCCATTTTTTATCCAAAAATCCATTGTCGCTGTCATCTATCTTTTATTCCATTTTACAAACTCCTAGCTTGAAGCTCCTGAAAAGCTCGTAGTTTGCTCCTAAGGTCCTTAGTTAGGCTAAGGAGGGGCTGCTCCTCAATTTCAGCTACTTTTTCCTTGTAACTTTGCTCATCATCCTCAATTTATTACCGCTCTCTCGACTGCTTCTTCTTCTTTCCTTTTCCCTACCATACCCACCAATCATGAAATCTCCGAAACCATCAAAATTGTGTTTTCGTGTGGGTGCTTCTACCTTTTTTACCGTATTCTCTCGGTTTACCTCTCTTTTCCAAAAGAAACATTTTAATGATCGGAGGCCCCTCCTGTGGGAATAGTGGGTGATAAAAACACACCCCGATTCCGATGCTTTTCTCCCGCGTTTCATTTCGTTTTCAAGGAGCACTTGCTACCTAACCTACCTCTTCCGACGGGAGTGACCCATTTTTCAGTTTTTTGCAAACTTGGTTTCTAATAAGCGTATAATTATTCTGTGTTCTTTCAGACTTGGTGAGCCCCGACACAAACTGGATAAGTTCATAGGTAAGTTCGTCAGCATATGTGAACTATAGAAATCACCGAGAAATCGAGTTCCAGAAGCGATGATACAGTCGGTCTCGCCGATGGCTGCCGCCGCCGCGCCGAGTCAGATCGTTGCACTACATCAGGTGAGGAGTCATTTCAATTTTTTGATTTTCGAAGATTTTAAAATCAATTGAACATTTAAAGCAAAATTACAAATTTTTTTCTACGGTAATCTTCGCGAATACCATCATGTCAAATTTCAGACAGAAAATCGTAAAAATCAAAAAAAGATCATCAAAAATAGATGAAGTATCTAAAAGTTTTGCGAGAATCTAAAAATAATAATATTTCCTCTCGAATAATCGCTAATTTTTCAAAGTCAAATAGTTTTAAAAACTCGTTTCTCAATGGAGCACAATAGACCACTATTTTCAAATCTCGCTTATCGCCGTTGCTCAAATCAGAAGTTGACAGTGCTCACTTGGGTTCAAGCGAGAGGGTCAGAAAGCGCGCCCCAGCAAACTCGTAGGCCAGAAGAAAGGGGTACGACGAATTCGAACGTTTTCAAAATCGAAAATACCTAAAATCGAACTGATTCAATTCAGAACAGTCCTTTTTTCGCACACTTACCAGAACAGAACGCGGACAGAATTGAACTGTTACAAATTCGAACTGGTAAGGGGTCGAACTGTCCCAAATTGGAACGTTGTTTTGTGTGTGCTTTCATGCGCGCTCTGTTGTTTAGAATTTTTCCTAAATTTACTGGGACGCGCTTTCTGACCCCCTCGCTTGAACCCAAGTGAGTGCTAAATATTCTTTTTTCTTGTAATTTTTTTTCCCGGTTCAAACTGATCTTTTTCAGCATCACGTTCAGTAAACTTCTCTTCTTTTTCAAATATAGCACGGATTTTCTGGGTTTTCAAAAATCTTTCTTTTTCATTAAAAATATGAGAGGTTTAAAAAAAAAAAGCTCATCAAAAATTTGAAATTCTGATTTCCAGACTTGTTAGACTATTTTTGATCTACACAAAACATAAATTCGATCCGAGAATTCCTTCAGAAGTTCGAAAATCGTCTAATTTTTCAATCGATGCTAAAAAATTATATTTCAATGATTCTTTCAATTATTTTTCGAGTTTTCCCAGCCGATGAAAATCTGTAGTTTTTTTCGAATTCCCTCTCCCACAACATTGTTAGTTTTTTGGCAAGGAACGATTTTTGCCAGTAGCAAAAGGAAATGTATGTTATAAGATTCGTAGTTTTCAGCTCCTTGTTTCCTTCGTTTTTAAAGATATTGATTGAATCAATAATTTCGTAACGTTTCCAACTAATATCCCAGGAACACACAACTCTCACGAGACCACACTGTCTTCAGTAAAACTGTTTTCTATTGATTAGAACACCTTTTGACTCGTTTAGTATCTAGAGTCGATAACTCAATCACCCTCAGTTCATATTGATTACCCAATTCCTATTTTTTCATATACCTATTTCTAATTTCCAGATTCAAGCGTTGATGGCGATTCAAATGCAACAAGGAAACTTATTCCCTCAATTAGATGATATATCGGTAAGTCAATGACTCATTTTACCCGAATTCTTTTCTCAATTATAGTCCGATTTTCAGAAGTCTCCCACCCCCGAAAACGGTTCTCCATCAGCGAAACGAATGCGATTGTCACCGAACACAAGTAATCACAGTGATGAGAGTTTCGCGTCAACGTCACAAGCAACGAGTGGAGAAGAAGGGAAATCGCCGAAAAGTTGTAAGTTAGGGAATTTATCGTTTTAGAGGTGTTTTGAGTTCGGGGAACCTAACATGGGAGAAGTGGAAGGTCCCAGAGCGAAAACTACCGTAACCTCAGACTTTTTCGGATTCATTTTTTCGAGTTTCGTGAGTTTTCAGTAAATTCTTCTATCAAAATTTTTACAAATTTCCGACTTTTCTCGGAAAAATCAGACGGAAATTATTTAAAAAAAAGGAATCCTGAAAACGTTTTTAGGTTACGGTAGTGGTCGTAGCTGAAAATCGGTTCGCAAGTTTTGGTCTGGATTGGTTCAAAATTGAATTTGAAAATCTGAAATTCGATGAAAATCGGTTAGAATTAGTCTAGAATCGACCTGAAACCACTGACCTGAAATGGTCAATTTTGACCCTTCAGGCCTTTTTAATTCCTAATTTTAAAACCGTAGACTGAAGCTCACATTCAAGATTTGTTCACGCCCTTGACTCATGGATTTTTTCTTGTGTGCACTGAAATGATAGGCTCGTTTCACTCGTATCATCCTTTTCCTGGTCCGGCGCCTTGGTGGTCGCGAACTTGTGTGCAAACTTTGTTTGATGGTCTTTAGAGTTAACCGACACGAGTCAGACATTTGACAAGGCAATTTATGTAATTACCATATTTGCTCTTACCGAAGCCTACCCTATAGTGTATTTTAAGCTCGATTATCTCGATTCCTACAGAAGATATCAGAAAGTCGTCAACTGATGAAAGGTATATCATAATATCAGCAACATTTTATCAGTTGAATGATTTTTGACATCTCTTCCAGGAACCGAGATAATCGAGCTCAAAATAGAATTCCGAATTGCTCCGATAAAAAAATCAAATTTCAAAAACCGTCCCTCCATCCAAAATAGTGATTTATAGTTCCCCATAAACAGAATCGTCTGAAATAATCATGATCCAAGACACCAAGGCTCTCGAGAATTCTCCACATCCCCTCCTCGAAATTCCTTTCCCTTGTTAGTTGGGAAACTGAAAACCGCCCGAAGTGGTGAGAATGTGAGAGCTGTGTGTCTCCACATTGCTTCAGTTTGGCAATGGTGGTGGCTAATTCATAAGCCCGCTTCTCTTGAATTTTCCCACGTCGATCGATGATTCGAGCCGTCGTGCGCCGGAGACTGCTTAGCTCTTTCTCGAAATGCTTTCCTTATTCGATCTCGGGTTTTCTAGTTTTTCACCGAAGCTGGAAGTGATGACGAAAGGCTGAAAACATTCGCTAGCAAAAGTGATACTGATAGTTCTGGAGCGAGAGGGCGAAGTACATAAAATATCGCATAACGTGTCCATATTCATGTGGGAACTTTTAGCAGTACTCATCCTTTTCTATTTGAAGAGTGGAAGAAGATCATACGGAATGGAGAGAGTCAATGTTCCAGCTTCTCACGCATAATGAGACACAAGGAAATAGATCATCAGAGAAGTGAGAAGTTCCACTTGCTCAAACAAAAAGGAAGTACTGTACCTCCTGCAGTTCAGTTTGTTTCTAGGTACCAGGAGGTGTCTCTATTTGGGTTTCGACACCACTCAATATATGTACATTGATACTGATTATAATGATAATTGAGCGATGTTAACTGGGTCAATAAGGGAAGAAACTGGGAGCAGTGAGCATTGCAACAGGTCAGACCGGACCAGCCCGTCATGCTACAAGTTTGGTATGGAGTAAAATTGAAGTTACAAGGATCTCATGAAGCATTTGGATGTCTCGAATCTCGAGTCTCGTCCGACAGTAACTTTTTGAGGGTCTAGTCTTGACCTACAGTAACCAAGAAACAAAAGTCAACTACGATAGCTGTTTGCAACACCAACGTCTTCGACCTGAATCCAAACCAATTTCACCAATACCAGAAAATCTTTAAATCAAGACCACATGCTATCAGAGATTATCGCTCACGGACGGGAATCTCTCACTTCTATTGTTGATGTAGAGGAGGTGGTGGTGATTCCAAACAGCTATGTTATCAAAAACAATCAGTGGTGATCTCACACTTCTATGTTATCCAAGCTCGCCAACAGCTCGAAGATTCACACACCCGAATCACTTGAGATGCTCTTGTCCTACCACTATCCCATAACTTTGTTCCCATCCCTTCGATGAGACTCCCGACAGCGGCACAAAACAAAGAAGGATCATCTGTGTATACATGCAGGTACTGTAGAGAGAGGAGGAGACACGCATTAATGGGAGAAAGTTTATGAAGTAAACGCTTGACACAGGAGACAATGTGGTAAACTTCGAAGTCGATGGACAGTCTCCGTTAATGTCAATTAGCAGTCGTTCGCAGTTTCAATTGTTCCAGCTGCTCTCACCCTTCCCCCGATTGGATACTCTGACTCCGCCCACTTCTCCAGTCTTTCCACATGCTTCTCTACCATGAAAAGCCAGAGACGATATGAAGAGAGTGTTTGGGAGGCGTGGCGATTGAGGAGTATCGGAGAAACTAAGAAAACCGAAGAGGGAAAAATATAGAGAAGGTCGGTTTTTCCCACCCCGCTTTCCTTTCCATTGTGTGCTCTTCGACAGCCAACCAGCTTCTTCGTCGTTCTCCCATCAGCAGTACCCCCAGTGAAAAACCACCACCTTCTTCTTCATTTTCCCTTCAAGCCATCCCACCACCACTTCTACTATTCTTTCTTCCCTGGGAATCTTCGCATCGGATATCCCACGACGAGCTTCCACTGCCGGGAAGACCCTCTTCAAGACTCGACTTTCACGCGCCACCCATCCCTCGCGGTCCCATCGTTGCTCGGAAGAGACTCGGGATGGATTATCATCAGTCCCCATCAGTCGTATCTTCCGAAGCTTCAGCTTCGACTGTTGCGGTAGCGGCTGCTGCCGCTACCGCTCCTATCCATCAGCAACATCATCCTCATCATCTAACAATGATGATTGATGAAAAACCAAGCATATCAGCGCTCTATTGTGATGATGGTCTTCTATCCAGAAGTCTGACTGATATGATCTCATCTGGAGGATACGATACTTCTTCATCGGCACTCAGCGCGGCTGCTTCGATGTGTTATCCTACTGCTGATTCATACTACTATCATGCGCCACCACCACCACCTCCACCTCAACAACCACACGCTTTCGGTGGCGCTGATGCTTCGTGGCTTCAAATGCAAATGCCGCCTACTTATCATAACTTATGGCAATACTGGTGTCTCTGCCAATTCCCCTCTCCCGGGTCATCTTCTCAGGTATGGACAACCTACCTTCGGTAAGTGGTAAAGAGGGAGGCTAATTGGATTATTGTTGCGGAAATGTTCTGTCGCCTAAAGTTCATAGAGACGCTTCCCAAAGGATGGCGTAATAATAGTGGGGTCAGGGTGGGGTAATACTTGTATGAGAACAAGCTAGGTTTGTGTAGATTTTTGTATCAAAATGGAAAATGGAAGAATTTTGTAAGACTGGATTACGGTAGCTTTGAAAAGAAGCCCACCCAAACCTTAAAATTTGAGCTCAATCATCTCGATTCCTATGAAAGATATCAAACTTTTATCAACTGATAAAATACTTATCATAATATCACCAACATTTTATCAGTTGACAGATTTTTTATATCTCGCATTAGAATCGAAATAAGTTAGCTCAAAGTTGACCGTTTGGGTAGGCTACTAATAGAGGGAAAACGATAGATAAATTTCGTAGGATTACGGTAGCTTCGAAGAAAAGTCAGTGTGTAGTTTGATTTCGGAGAAAAGATTGCTCCGAAGCTTCCGGAAGATGACTCAATGCTAGTTAGAGATACTGTAGTTCAGCTACACAAATTCAAATTGTGAAATCGATATCGATAATAATAATATATTTATTTGAGAAACGTGTGATATCGAATTCCTGTTTCTAGATTCATTCAAATTAGATCTTACCTATTGCCCTATTTCCATATACCGTAAACACTCTAATAGAAGGGTGGCGTTCTATCAGAGTGTTTACGGTATTCAAATTCTTCATGTCTTAACAAGCAATCTACCTATTGTTTGCTCAGTTTTTTTCAAACATCCTCATCTTTTTCTTCTTATCAGTTTTTCTTCTCAGCCAACCCAAAGATTTTTATGATCCGTTCTCCAAGGAGGTCCCGCTCTATTTGTGTACCGTTTTATGAGGCGGCTTCATCCCCTCAAAAAATTATGCACATCGGCTGCTTTTTTGGGGCGCCACCCACATCACCTCGACACTATCATTCGCATCTCATTCTCTCTCTCTCTCACATACATATTGAAAAGGTGAGAGAGTGTATGTGAGGTATTGTTGCTTTTCGCTGGTTTCCCATCGTGGCATTTTACCTACTTTTGATTCCCATCATCACCTCTCGGGAAGAGGCTCTTCCTCTGCTATTCTATTCAAAATAATGTTCAACTCGTACGGTTCCTGTAATCCCTACTATTATGGTCTTGGAACATCCACACCGACGGTTACCACAGTAACCAGTGAGCGTCCGTTGATTAAATCAGAGGATACAGTTATCGCTACTATCGGTAACACTCCATTTCAAAGAGCTCCTTCACCATATCATAATATTCCATTCGGTGCTCCTGGATTCTTCCAAATGGGACCATTCGCACCGACGTTCCCTCCAGCAATGAATTTCTCAGCTACTTCAAACAACCCATTTGGGTTCAATTTCACTAGTTTTGCTACACAACCCACTACGGTTGCAGCAGAGTTCACTGGGTCTCTTGTGAATGCCTCAAATAGATATCATGCGTATTCTCGGGAAGCTTCTTCTTCTTCTTCTTCTGCCTCAAATCGTTTTGGGAGAAATAGGGGGAAGATAGGAAGGGGTGAGAGCTATCAATTAGATATTCATAAGTCTTATTTTCAATTTAAAATAAACATTTTCAGCCGACCAATTCTACAATCTCGGACAAGCCACACCGACCACTTCTTCATTCCTGGACACCTCCACGTCTAGCTTCGGTGCTCCTTCCTCTGCAGTGACCAATCCGATGTCTAGCTATCAACTGGCGTTCCAAGCGAAGCTCGGTGGTCTTCACAATATGCTCAGTGGAACTTCACAATCATTGACAACGTAAGCTATTCTGTCTGGTTCTTTCACCTTTTTAAGATATTCCAGCGATCGAATGATTGACTTTCTGAAGAACAAGGAGTCCTACGAGTGCATCATATCGATATTCCACGCCAAAGTCGCTCAGAAATCATATGGAAATGAGAAACGGTGAGTTAGAAGATCAAAGAGGGCAGCTGGCTGGCTTGTGAGAAGCACCCAACTACTCAATATTTGCTCATAATTGATACACTTATAAGGAGAAACACAGATATGTTGTGTTGTTGTTGAAGCAGGTGCATCTAGGTATCAATTAGCTCAGCGTCTTGGGGAGGGGGGTGGGGGTACTGTAGGTTAGTCACAGTAGGTAGATCAGAAATCCGAAATTTCGTATAGAAAATTTTCCCTTGGCATTTTCCTCTGAAATTGGGAAAAATATATGGCGAGAGTGTCTACATCACACGTATCGTGGGAACTCTCAACTGATCTGTTTTTTGTTCGCATGAGAAATTCGTTCTATGAAAGATACAGTAGGGACTACGGTGTCGACATGAAAATCATGAGAAATTCTGGGAAAGATACAGTAGGACCCACGAAAACTCATGGAGATGTTCTTCTTGGTGTCCAACACATTCTCAAGTACCCCAAAAGGACTTCCACGTGTTCTTTCCATAGCTAGCTGTCAATTAGGAGGTCCAGGATAGATTTGTACTCTACTTACTGCTCATTTTCTAAGTGCCATATCTCTCCTAATTGGACGATAAGTGCACACACACACACACACACACATAAATACTGTGTTTGCCACTTGTGTTGCATTAAATATTGTGTTTCTTTTGGGGAAGCAGCAGCATGATTTGGGTTACGTAACATTAGAAGGGCTTAACTGGAGAGAGGAGAACAAGCATATGGTCTCGTTAAGAAGGTTTTTCTGTGATTTCGCGCATTTAGAATTCGGAGGATAAGACTAATTGAGTGCGAGGACCTAAAAAGTTGTTGTGGGATGGAAGTACACATGTAAGATCTTCCTGAAAACAATCTCAATTCTCGAACATGGTAGGAAATTGTCTGCAAACACGTACGACAGTTTGCACAATTTCCCAGGGATTACTGTAGGAAAGCATTACTTCAATAATCTGAAAACCCATTTCAAACCGTGCAATTTTGTCCAAAAACCATCTTGCCAGCATATCTATAACTCGAGATACGGTCATTCGAAGTTTCCGAGGTTAGAGACGCAGCGTGTCTCGTCATCTGCGTATCTAGCCTCCCGAAATCGGAGCGGTTCTATCTCGATTCCTAAAGCGCTAGAAATGTGATTTTCAGACACAATTGTAGGAAATTTTGTCTATTTTGTAATTCAAAAGTTACAAAAATACTCAAAAATAGGTAATAAAATTAATTTTATACATATTGCGGAATGGAAAATTTAATTACTGAAGATTAAAGTCTGGAAGCTACAGTAGTATCAAATTATTCTTCATTCAGATTCTTCTGTCCACCGCCATGCATCTATCTGATAGGGCAAGGATGGAAGCTCAAGAAGCAACGAGTCCTCGACCTATACAAATCACTGAAAGCCTCATCCCAGAAAGAGCTTCTCAATGCCATGGACAACGATCCGGTTCAAGAGCAACAGTCCACCGAGCTCGTCGCCTATATCGGTATCGGATCCGACAACGCTGAAAGACAACAGCTGGACTTTTCAACTGGCAAAGTGAGACATCCGGGTGATTCAAGACAGGATCCGAATATTTACGATTACTGTGCTGCCAAGACCCTTTATATCAGTGATTCTGATAAGAGAAAATATTTCGATTTGAATGCGCAGTTCTTCTACGGATGTGGAATGGAAATCGGGCAATTTGTGTCACAGAGAATCAAAGTGATTTCGAAACCGTCGAAAAAGAAGCAGAGCATGAAAAACACCGATTGCAAATATCTGTGCATTGCTAGCGGAACCAAAGTCGCTCTTTTCAATCGCCTTCGTTCCCAAACCGTCAGTACGAGATACCTCCACGTGGAAGGAGGCGCGTTCCATGCTTCATCCACAAAGTGGGGAGCATTCACTATCCATCTCTGTAAGTTTCTCATTCTTTTGAGCATATTTATAATTCCTTGTAGCTGATTCAGTTGACGACGAGCGTGGCGAGCCGGACAACTTCACTGTCAAGGATGGTTTTGTGTACTACGGAAGTGTGGTGAAGTTGGTGGATAGTGTCACTGGAATAGCCTTGCCCAGATTGAGAATCAGAAAAGTCGATAAACAGCAAGTGATTCTGGATGCGTCGTGCAGTGAAGAACCAGTCTCCCAGCTACACAAATGTGCATTCCAAATGGTGGACAACGAACAAGTGTACCTGTGTCTCAGCCATGACAAGATCATCCAGCACCAGGCGACACGAATCAGTGATACGAGGCATCAAATAAACGATGGTGCCGCGTGGACAATCATCTCGACTGACAAGGCCGAATATCGATTCTACGAGGCGATGGGAGCAGTGGCGAATCCAATCTCACCGTGTCCAGTTGTCGCGTCGTTGGAAGTGAATGGACACAATGAGGCGTCTCGAATTGAGTTAACTGGAAGAGATTTTAAGCCAAATTTGAAGATCTGGTTTGGAGCGACAGGAATGGAAACTACTTTTGAGAGTGAGGAGAAGATCTCGTGTTCGGTTCCATCGTCACAGATAGTTCGAAATGATCAGACGCATTGGATGTTCACAAATAAGCAATCGATGGATGTAGAGGTAAGAGAACATTTTGTAGTTTTTAGTCTCCCCAACAACAATTCTTAAATTTCCAGGTGCCAATTTCACTGGTTCGAGAAGACGGAGTCATCTATTCAACGGGTCTCATGTTCTCATACTCATCGCTCCAGTGCCGAGGACCACCGATGCGACACGCTTCCAACTATTAAATATATCTCGTATTCCGTTATCAAATCATGTATTTTCTGTGCCCCCCTCTCTCCTTCCTTCCCCTAAATAATTTCCCTCGGGTAGTTTTAAAAAAGTATTCATATTTCTCTTAATAATCACTTCTAAATTCTTCATCTTTTTTGTTCTATAATCTTGATTTCTATCTATCTCGGGTGGCGTTTCTTCACCATCATTCTCTGCTGCTTCTCTCACTCTTGGAATAATTTTTGCAATAATTTGTCGCTCTTTGATTGTTTTACATTGTATCTTTAGAGCGTATTTTAGAAAATCATCCTGTTGAATATCTTTCGGATCTTAATAGTTTGAACTCTGGGTTTTTTCCATTATTTCAATGTAATTGATATTAATCTTTTCCGACCCAATCAATTAAGTATATAGATATTAACAATAACAACACCACGGTGGTATCTCTTTTCATCCCATTTTTCTTATCCTTTTTTTCTCTGTTTTCCTTTAAAAAATGAAACCAGCTTTAATTAATTAATTAACAAGAATTTTTTATTCAAAGAAAAGTTTCAGCAGCAGATCAATTTCAGCATCATTTATCCACGCATCCGATTCGACATGATGTATCGCGGGTTCTGTGGAACGTCGAGACTCTCGTCGGTGTACATTTGACGCCATTGACCTCCATAGGTTTGGCTCTGAAGACGTTGAATTCAGAATCTTCAAGAAAACGGAAAACTTACAGTTGGTGAATTGAAGAACGGAAGTGCCATAGTGAAGGCAGAGATGAGAACGACAAGCAAGAGGACTTGGAAGAAACGCATAGTTCTCTGAAAAAATTCAAAATTTCAGCGGAAATTCAAAAATTGTATGAACGCGCGGATTTCAGGAAGAAAAATGAAGCAGAAGATGATGAAGAAATCCAATTATTCAGAAGAGAGAAAAAAGAGAGAAATTCTGAAATGAAAAAATAGAGCAGGATAACAATAACCGGAGAGAGTAGGAAAATAGGGAAAAATATTTTTTTTTTGGAGAATTAATCGAGACTCTCAAATTTAAAGAAGTATTGGGAATAGAAAATTGATGCTTCGACTACAGTAATCATTAAAAAAGTTTAGTACAGATAAAACTACCGTAAACCAGCTAATAGAATGACCTCTAACTTTCCACCTTGAGCCAATTTATCTCCGTTCCTGTGAAAGATATCAAAATGGGCAAACTAATAAAATATTGCTGATATTGTGATGAACATTTTATCAGTTAACTAATTTCTTATATCTTTTACAGGAAATGAGATAAATTGGTTCAAAGTTTCCGAACAAATATCCTTCTCTATTTTTGCAATTGATGACTTTTTCGTACAAATTCGTCCAAATAAAATATGAAATCGAATAGAAAATAACAAAATTGACCCAATTTCATTTCTAACCTCCTTATGAGGAAGTTTACTGAAGATTGGTCAGCTATAGTCTATAGAAAAAGAGCATTGCTTTTGAACCTAATCTCCGGAATGTTTCAGAACAATCACTATGAAGCTGTATTTTCATCACTATGAAGCTGTATTTTTTGTTTGATTTTAACAAACAAGACTCAAATTTGGAGATTGAAAATATAGCTTCATAGTGATTCAATTGTTCTGAAACTTTCCGGAGATTAGGTTCAAAAGCAATACTCTTTTTCTATAGACTATAGTTGACCAATCTTCAGTAAACTTCCTCATAAGAAGGTTAGGAATGAAATTGGGCCAATTTTGTTGTTTTCTATTTGGTTCCATATTTTATTTGGACGAATTTGTACGAAAAAGTCATCAATTGCAAAAATAGAGAAGGTTATTTGTTCGGAAACTTTGAACCTCCTTTGAGTTCCTTTGAGCTCAATTATCTCGGTTCCAGTAAAAGATAGCAAAAAGTGGTCAACTGATAATTTATTCATCCTGCTTTTACCAATATTTATCAGTTTACAGACTTTTGATAATTACCATAGAAATCAAGAGAATTGTTCTCGAAGTGCACGGATATGGTTGACTTCTATTAGCGCAAATCAGAGATCCCTAACTCAAACTACATACGGTTATGTGCATAACACACCAAAAGAATAACCAATGTAAATTCCCGCCACACAATCACAATAATGAAATTCCTTCTTCTTTTTTTAATCAGAAAAGAGGAAGACGAAAATGGTAATGGACATTACAGAAATGCCCTTTTACAATTCATATTGAGGGATGAAAAATGCATAAACCGACGGCTCTCTGTGATTGACATTTTTCAATTATGAATTCTGGAGATGGCAGTTCGAAAGAATTGGAATTGCAAAGAAAAGAGTTTTGTTTTATTGAACAACTGAACATTTGAAAAAGCTACCGTAAACACTCTAATAGAAGGCAGAATCGTGTTGAATGCTTTTTAATAACTTAAAAGAAGTCTCGGAAGACTTTAGATCTAGGAGAAACCGTAAATGGTCTAATAGAAGCCTAAAATATCCGTGCACTTTTAGCTCAATCATATCGGTTCCTATGGAAAATATCAAAAGTTTTTCAACTGATACAATGTGGATGAAATTATAATAAACATTTTATCCGTTGACAGATTTTTTATATCTTTCAAAGGGACTGAGATGATTGAACTTAAAGTAAAATTATAGGATGGTCTTCTATTAGGTTGGCGGGAAAGTCTTTGTCACTCTGTTTGTTTAATCACTGTTCTCGTATATGGAGGCTGTGTATGATATCGACTCTAGTGAATAACAAGGTGATAAGAACCTTCCATATAAACAAGTCCCCATTTCCTTCCCTGCTCCTCATCTGTAATTGAAACGATATGTTTGTTCCCACTGCTATTCACATCAGACATGTTTTGATTTACCTCTTCCTATCTCACACCACGATGAAGGATTCGGAAACTTTCTTGAAGAATGTGTACAACACACATGCCCCTCACTACAATACTATTCGCAATTGGTTCCATCGTTTCGAAAAAGATGACTTCTCGCTCGATGAAAAGGATCGCTCTGGGAGACCCCGTGAGTTGGATTTGGACAAGCTGAAGCACGCATTGCAATCGGATCCATTTCAATCTAGCCGTGAACTAGCTGTCACATTCGGAGTTCACCATAGCACAGTCCTTGAAGGTTTGAAGTCTCTTGGAATGAGAAAACTTTTTGGTCGATTCATACGTCATCACCTGACTCAAGCCAACCTTGACCGCCGAGTCGACGATTCGATTACTCTTCTCACCTCCACGCGGGCGATCGATGGCTGGACCGGCTAATAACCGGAGATGAGAAGTGGGTCTTCTACGATAATCACCACAGGAAATCCCAGTGGGTTGGAGAAGGAGAGAGCCCACAGGATGTCCCCAAACCCGACCTTCATCCGAAAAAAGTTATGCTCTCTGTGTGGTGGGGAGTGGACGGCCCCATCTACTGGGAACTTCTGCCCGAGGGCAAAACAATAACTGGAGACCTCTACACTACTCAACTACGAAACCTCAAGAAAGCAGTCGACCGTTCGGCCCTGAAAGACAAGAAAGTGTACTATCAACATGATAACGCTCGCCCACATGTTTCGAAACAAGTGAAGCAGGAGCTGATGGGATATGGATGGAATGTTCTCCCTCACCCCCCGTATTCTCCTGATCTTGCTCCTTCCGACTATTGGTTATTTGGCGATATGACACGTGCCTTCGAAGGAAGAAGCTTCAATTCCCGTGGAGCGGTCGAAGCGGCACTCAAACAATACTTTGCCTCACGCCCGGCTGGATTCTACCGCAATGGAATCCATAAATTGAGGGAACGTTGGAGACATGTTGTTGATAATGATGGACAATATAATTAATTATTCGGTTATTTTTTCTTTGAGAAATAAACTATTGAAAAAGTGACAAAGACTTTCCCGCCAACCTAATATTAGAATGTTTACTGTATTTTGCTGTTGCTACGAAATGTTTTGCCAACGTTCCGCGGTGTCTATAGGCAATTATAAAGCCGTTTCCAGTAAAATTGCACCTTTGAAAGCCAGACTTCATTTGAGACAAATTTTCAAAATTTGTAGAATACACAAAGGGATTGAACGCTCTCTTGAACTTAGCATTCTTGGGAAGCTTTACCTTGTGGAACAATTTCTCAAAGGAGCAATTTGATTCCTAGACTCAACAGTAGGCAAATACTTCCAGAAAATGGTTTTTAAAAACTAAAATTAAAAGATGGACTCATAGAATTTCTAGAGGATGTTTACTGTAGTATATGATTCCAACTTTTCTATTTCATGTTTTGCCTAAAACACTACTTCTTTCCACCAGAAAATTGAAATTTTGAACATACCATGTTTGCTCTAATTGAACCCAAAACCGTCCACTTTAAGTTCAATTATCTCGGTTCATGTGAAAGATATCAAAAATTTGTCAAATGATAAAATGTTGATGTTATTATGATAAACATTTTGTTAGTTAACCACTTTTCGATATCTTTCCCAGAAATCGAGATAACTGAACTCAAAGTGGACGGATTGGGCTTCTATTAGAGCAAATACGGTTATAGTCCATTTTGCTTCAAATCCATCAAATTGCACTTTACCAACTAAACCTAACACAATAGAGTTATTTACCTAGGAATAAACACAACAACAAAAAGATCTCAAAAATCAAAACTTGCAAAGAATAAGAAACTCCAATCCATGAGATCGCTTTAAGTTGACTCATAAAACTTCCAGACAAATCCCATCGAAGCCTTTCGTCATTTGTCCCTCTTCTTCCTTTTATATATGGGAAGCAGTGGGGGCGGAGTCGGGGGAAAACCTTATGAAAGTGACGTTGAAAACTGAACTGAAGCCCTCTGATTTATATACGGTACTCTTTGAAGAATTCTTAATGGGGGTGTGACTTATTTAAAACAACCGCCCACTTTTCTTCGAAACTTCTTTTCGACAATGAAGTGAAAAAACAATGGAAGGAACTGAATTTCCGCATGAATTTCCTTTTGGGTTCTGAATTTCAAAAAGGTTAACTTTCCGAGAAAAAAAAGTTGAATGGAATTTTTTGCAGGAACCTAAAGTTTGAGGTGGGCGAGAAACTTTTGAACTCTGCGGCGGAGCTCCTCACAAAGAACTCTTGAATGAGTAATAAACCTCGTGAGCGACTTCTGTAAAGATTGTTTGGAGTATGAGTCGAGAAGAAGTCACGTCATCTGAAGTTTCCAAAGGATTCCTCAACTCGGCGCCCACTCATTAAGCTGCTGAAGCCGATAACTCTTTGAAATCAGTGACTTTGATGAGCGAGAAAAGAAAGATGCATATTTATGAATAATTAAGAATACCAAAAAGTTTAGCCAAAGAAGATGCGATTTCTGAATCTTGAGCTCATCGGTAGATGACGTGCAGAGTGATAACTTTCAAGTCTGGAATAAGAAATTGTTTCCAAAACATCCGACGAATTTTTGAGCTGAGGATTTGTTGTTGAAACACGGTATTCATTGAAAAATCATGTTGAAGCGTTCCATATTAAATAATGCTTTTCTTGTTTCTGATTCCAATGAATTCTTGACGAACTTTTTTTTCTTGCAAAATTGTGCACACAACAGCTTCAGAAGATCCCCTTCTCCTACTCAGCAGAGAGATTAGGAGAACGCACGCAGATGCGAGAGGCGTAGACGCGTTTTAAAGGGACATCGATTAATCCGCGCAGGCTGGTCTCGCCGCGCACCTCCCCCCTCTTTCTTCCACCGCGAGTTTGAATTTTATGTGTTCTCTGTTGCTTGTTTTTGTTTGGTTTTGTTGGTTTTTACATTGAAATTCGTTAAATTTTCACTAATTTAGCAATTCTCAACTTTTATAATTGTCACTTTCTTCAATTTTATCAAGTTTTCATCGGTGTCTTTTTTCCAGAAAATGGCGACACGAAAACGAGGAATAACGCCAGCGCGAGATCAAGTTCGTCGCAAGAAGCTTTCACTTGACGAGACAGACAACATAGAGGTTTTCTGCCGTTTGTGCCCATACTCTGGCTCGACACCGAGTCTTATCGCAATTGATGATGCCTCCGTGCAAACCGTGTTGCCACCCGCACAATACCGGCGTGAGAATGCTCCACAAGTCGAGAAAGTTTTCGGATTTGGGCACGTTTTTTCGGAAGCAGACGGACAGGAAGTCGTATTCGAGAAAACTTCTAGAGACTTGATTCTGAATCTTCTACGAGGACAGAATTCCCTGTTGTTCACTTATGGAGTCACTGGATCGGGAAAAACTTATACGATGACTGGAAAGCCAACCGAAAGTGACACAGGATTGCTGCCAAGAACGTTGGATGTTATTTTCAACAGCATTAACAATCGGTGAGTATTTAAATGCTAGGGAGTTTTGTTCATTTTGTCGTTTCAGTGTCGACAAGTGTGTCTTCTATCCAGCGGCTCTCAATACGTTCGAGATTCGTTCCACACTCGATGCTCACATGAAACGCCACCAAATGGCTGTCGATCGTCTCTCTACATCCCGTGAAATAACCGATCGATACTATGAAGCTATCCAACTATCCGGATACAACGATGATATGGTATGCTCGGTGTTCGTCAGCTATGTGGAAATCTACAACAACTACTGTTACGATTTACTGGAAGACGCCAAGAATGCGTAAGTTGTCGTTAATTTTTTTTTTCACCATCTATTCATAGTTCCAGAGTGTTGACGAAGAGAGAACTCCGTCAAGATCGTCAGCAACAAGTCTATGTGGATGGTGCCAAAGACGTCGAAGTCTCGTCGAGTGAGGAGGCTCTGGAAGTTTTCTGTCTTGGAGAGGAACGCCGTCGCGTCTCTTCCACAATTCTCAACAAGGACTCATCTCGATCTCACTCCGTTTTCACCATCAAATTGGTCATGGCTCCAAGAGCCCGCGACGCAAAGAATGTCTATCCAGAAATGGACTCAACTCAAATTGTGGTCTCACAGTTGTGTTTAGTTGATTTGGCTGGATCCGAAAGAGCCAAGCGTACCCAGAACGTTGGAGAGCGACTTGCCGAAGCAAACTCGATCAATCAATCTCTCATGACTCTTCGACAATGCATCGATGTTCTCCGACGTAATCAGAAGAGCAATTCCAACATCGAGCAGGTTCCATACCGTCAGTCAAAGCTGACTCACTTGTTTAGAACCTATTTAGAGGGCAACGGAAAAATTCGCATGGTGATTTGCGTGAATCCCAAGCCAGAAGATTATGATGAGAACCTGAGTGCCCTCGCCTTCGCAGAAGAATCTCAAACGATTGAAGTCAAAAAACAAGTGGAAAGAATGCCAACCGATAGAATCCCGCATTCATTCTTCACGCAATGGAATTCGGAACTTGATGGAGCTGTTCAGATTGATGTTGACCGCGCGGAGACTCCATGCCCGCCAACGTTCTGCTTGAGAGATTACAACGATAACGACACTGTTGAATCGTTGAGAATTTATGCCCGGAAGCTCTCTGTTCTTCAGGATTCTTCAGATGACGGTGCATCGTCTTCTCTTCTGTCTCTGGTCCGCCAATACATGTTGGAGGCTGACTACCAACGCATGGAAATCGCTCGTCTCAAAGACACACTCAGCGATAAGGACGAAGAAATTGAGAAGCTTCGTGGATTCTGTCGCCGATACAAGAGAGATTGTGCTTCGATGAAAGAACGTATAGCCAAGTATGAACAAGGAGAACAAGAGAATCAGATGGCTATGGAGAAACTTGTCGAGCAAAAGATGGAGGATCGAAAGATCATTCAATCTCAGAAGAAGGCAATGCGAAATGTCCGTGAATTGATCGACAATCCGTCACCATCGGTCGCTTCTTTACGTTCTCGTTTCGATCAAGAGAATATGGGTCTTCAACCAAGTGCCCCGATGCAAACTCCACCGCCACCATATCAGACTCCTGGACGTGCTCCAGTCTACAGAAAGCGACTCGAAGCTGCCGTCTCCACTACCGCTGTGAATGGAAGTGGATCATCATCAAATGGAGCTAACGGCCAACAGGGATACGTGAATCCCAAGTATCAGAGACGCTCGAAATCAGCTTCAAGACTTCTCGATCATCAGCCAGTTCATCGTGTCCCAACTGGAACGGTTCTCCAGTCTCGCACACCAGGCAACGCGATAAAAACTACAAAGCCAGAGGTAACCTAAAACGGTTATACTAATTTATAAAAATTTCATTTATTTTCAGCTCCACCAACTGAATAAATCTGGCGAGTATCGTTTGACTCATCAAGAAGTCGACCAAGAGGGCAACATAAGTACCAATATAGTCAAGGTAACACCCTCTGTTTCTTATCGTCTTTAGCATGCTCTATCGTATCGTATATTTCACTTTGTAACAATTCACCCTGTATCATATCACTTTTTACGTATCAAACCCATCATTGTCCGTCTATTACACACTGCACCACTAACGCATTCTGACAGGCAACGACTTCCATGCTGCCACGGCTTCGGAACGAGGACTCACAAAGCAGTTCGTATTCACCTTGTTCTGATGTTAAGTCGATAACTATTTACTCGAATTATGAAGAGGTGGATGAGTAAAAGAGAAGTGGTGGAAGAGTGGATTTTGTGGAGTGGAATGTGCTGTGTTTGATGGGTTTTGCTTTTTTTGTATGTTCTTTGCATTAAAATGGTCATTATTTATTTTCTTTTTATGCTTTGATATTCATCTTTTTCGGTTCGAAATTGCACGAGAGTGTTTAAAACAGTATGACATTGTAAAATGAGTACAGGGCTCGAACTACTGTGGTATGATGTTGCGCTTTATGGACAAAGTGATGTGGCGAAGTTTGAAACTGTTAAAATATCAATTTCCTTGCAATTCAGTTGATTTTCACGACCTAACACTTTGCCACGTCACCTTCTCATTAAAGCGCAACAGCATACCATAGCAGTTCGAACCCTATGAATTGAGTTCTCTGCCGAAAACAGTTCACAACTGTATTTTAATGAAAACGGTGTATTTCTTCTAGCTTTAGTTTCCTTCACTTTCTCAGATTTTGTCAATTTGCTTTTTTCAAATTTCATTATTTTCAGGGTGACGTGATACCGACTGTCTCTGGTGGAACCGCCGTCTTCTTCCACGATATCGAAAAGCTGACACACGAATCGCCGGGCGTTCGAAAGTAAAAATCAACAAGGTCACCTTGTAATCAACACCACCAACCCGCCCATCTTATTATTTCAAATTTTTTATCCCTCCTCCCTTCGCAAAACCCACTTTCCTGTCAATTCTCTGTACCATACATCCATCTTCTTTTTCGAAAAAATATTTATTAATGTATCATTTGTCTTTTCGAGAAGAGAGATCTCAATTATTTTCTCCCCCAAACATTTTGAGCATCATTCATTCATAATCCCATTTTCAAAATCTCAAAGAGCACACATTTTCCTCATATTGTATTGTTTTAATTTCATTGTAATGATATTTCCCTTCTCTACACAGAACTTATGAGTCGATCTGAAATCTTGTTCATTTATTCCCTCTCACTTATCACCCGACTCGGCCATTACTAGTAAATATTTTTGTATTTTACCAAGCTTTCCAAAGGCAACAGTATAGAAACCTAGATAATTTGAAATCTTTTATTTTAATAATAATATAATAGTCAAATCTCAATAAATAAGGACCCGATTCAGGCCAAAAGGGTACATAGAAAATAGTGGTGATGTGGGGGAAGAGAAGAAGAAGAAAAGGCACTGTTTTATACATATAATTTTAGGTGATTTTACGCGTTTTTTCGGGATGCAACAAAACTAAAAAGTTAGGGAATATTCCATGAAAAAAGAAGAGGTCAGAAATGGTGATTATCTGTGATTTTTGGGTGCCTAAAAGGGCAGGAGAAAAGGACAAGATCAGAAACACGTGGGACAGAAATTTGGGTTAAGAAAAGAGTTATAAACTGGAGATTCCTACAGAGAATTCTTGATTTGCGTGAAGACGTTGGCTGCGTTCATCATGAACATGTTTTCAGGAGTTTGTGTTGAGGTCAAGTAGCTTGAGACGTTCGTGATGAGCTGGAAAAATGGAGTTTATGGAATTAATCGATAATTTCAGCTTTTGAAATACTGGCTTAGGCCTATAAGCTTGTTTATTACTCTTGTCTAATTTCAATTCATTTCTAGCCTTTTTTTCGATTACTCGATATCGAGCTCGATGAATTTCATCGACTTTGAATTTCACGCCCCTTCAAAGGTTTCGCTACCGGACCTCAGTTCCGTCCACTTCAAAACTTCGGCTATAAGTGAGATCAGAGTAGAATTAAAAGTTTAAAAAACAGAATCCCATTAACTAACCTGTTTAGTCATCTTCTTATACGCCTCAAACTCCTCGTCCTTCTTCAACACTTGCTGCTCCAAGTCTTGAATCCTCTGCCAACTATTCGAGCAGTCTTTGCACGACGACGACGTCGTCGACGATTCAGAAGCCGTTGGTTGTGGAGACGCCCCTGATGAACTCATTGGGCTCACTGAGCTCTGATCCAGACACGTTGACTCCAGAAGTTGAAGAGGTGACGTCTTCTGAGGGCTAGACGCGCAAGATGTGTCTGTGGCTGGGTCGGAATCGGAGCCAAGGGTGACGGGATCGATAGTTGTTGCTGTTTGAAGGACAGGATGATGATGTTGGGGAAAGCTCAGAAGCGTAGAGTCCAGGGACAAGTTGGTATTCTGATTGGCAAAATGATACATGTACATGTGGAGAGTGAATGATGACTGATTGTTGAATTGAGACTTGCAGAGCATACAAGTAAGGTTTAAGGGAAGAGCAGGAACTGAAAAATGAAATTGTTTGGATGATTATTATTTCGATATCTTTTACCTGGTGTCTCAAATGCTAAATCCTTGTTATTCAAAATATTGGTCTCATTATTGTTATTATTGTTCAGAATATTCTCTTGTTGTTGCTTCACCAGAAGATTGTTCAACGCGCTTCTCTGATTCTCTTGTTGTTGGATTAGCAACTTCTGGGCCATCTTTGCAATTGTTTCAGGCGACAGAACAATCGGTTCTTGCTTCACTGAGAATGATTCAAGCCCAGCTTTCATTGTAGGCGTCAGAAGAGAACGGATTGGGGAAGACGGTTTTCCTTTGCACTTCAAATGATGCTCATCCAGCATTGCTTGCTTCAAAAACGACCGCCCACACTGCTGACACGAGAAACCTCGTTCCTGATGAATCTTCATGTGTCGATTCAAATCAAACTGCAAGAAATTGAGTTGTTTAGTTTTAATTCAAAGCAAAGTTTCCTTACTTTAAAAATAAATGTTTTATGGCACTGTGGACACTCGTGAGGTCTGCCACCGGAGTGAATCATCAAGTGTTGAGTGAGATGACCTTTCTGAAAACAATAGAGAAGTTAGAGGGAAGTAGTTAGTCACAGCGGAGTAGTTCAAATGTTTTCCAAGGAGCACTATTTTTGAAGGTACCGTAAATAGAATGAGCCTCCTAACTTTAAACTTCGAGCTCAACTATCTTGCTTCGTGTGAGAGATATCAAAAAGTGGTTAACTAGTAAAATGTTGCTGATGTTCTGATAAGCATTTCGTCAGTTGATTACTTTTTGATATCTTTCACAGAAAATGAGATATATGAGCTCAAAGTTGGGTGGAATTCTATTAGTGGTCATAAATTAGGTCAATGTTGACAAGGTAAGATGCCCTTCTATTACAGGTTTTACGGAATCTTTAAAACTGCAACTAACCTGGAAAAAAGCCTTATGGCAGTGTGGACAGACGTGTGATCTCTCTCCTGTATGCCACATCCAATGCTTCTTCAACAACTGCCGAGTTCCAAACTCTTTCCCACACTGCGTACACTGAAATTCTCAAATTTTAGACAAAATTCTAGCTTCTAGAAGCTCTTACACTATGTGGTTTCTCTCCACTGTGAATCCTCATATGTGTTGCTAATTCTCTTTTCACCAGAAACATCTCATGACACTCTTCACACTCATACCGCCCTCTCTCTCCTGATGCTGATTGTACTGAAGGCGTCGTTGGATTCATGGAGACGTGAGAGGAATCGGTGTCGGATAGACTGTCCGTGTCTTCTATTTTGATTTGGATCATTGTGATCTGAAAAAGAGAAATATGGTTAGGTTCAGGTGGGTAGGGGATGTGTGGAAAGTTTGAAAAAAGGCCAGGTGTTTCATTTTGATAATGACCAGAGAAAAAAAAGCAAAATGGGGGCAGGTGTCCAGTATAGTGGAATGCATGAGGATAGACAATGGAAAGGATACTGTAGGTCGTATATAGTTTTTGAGATATGCGCCTTTAGAGACACGCAAAGTTGAAAGGCTCATATCTTCAAGCCTAGGGATACTGTAGGTTCAGGGGTAGTTCTAGCCATTATTGTAAGTTTCAAGGAACCCAATTTTTTGGAAATATGAACATAACAATTTTTTTTCATGGAACTACAGGTATATGGTCAAGTTCAGCTCATGGTATGTATACATCCGAACACTGATAATGGAAATGTGTGTTTTCAATGTGAAATACATTTGAAACGGTAACTTTTGAGTTTACAAAAGCCATATTTTGAAGTCTTGAATGTTTGAAATGCAATACATACTCATCCAATTCAAGATTTTCATTTAAAAAGAAAATCAGAAAAAAAAGGAATTACAGAAAAATTCGAAAACCTGCGCACCTAGATTTTGGAAATCATTGAAGGAATCTGATATTCATTAAACCTTATGAATCAACCTTGTAGAACCAATGTTTCCAAGATCTTCACGCACACGGATACTAGCTACTGAAATAAAAAAGTGAAGACGAATATATCGCTTATGAGCATCTTCCCTCGGACACGCCCGGACCCATCCGCCTCTGGTGTCGGTTGGTGCCAGGAAAGATCGGAAAAATCACGGAGAATATGCAAATGGCTGTGTGGAGGAACGGAGAAGCGCAGAAGTGTGTAACGAACGCCTGCTCTTCTCAAAGCTTCTGTGTTGGAGCGGAACAGAGGATGGCACCAACGCGCACCAATCAAGACACGCCCACTATTTGGGAGGGTGCTCTCCGTGTGATGGAATGGCATAAAGAGGGTGTGTAACCATGAGAAGACGATGCCGATGGATGGGTTCGGATGGGACTATGATGGGATCGTGGAAGGGGTAGGTGGGCGGAGTCACATCTTCCATGATTCAGATTCTCTTACTACTAGTTATGGTTTAGAACGTTCTAGAACTCGGTATAGCTACCAATGACAGTCATGTTGGACAATCACGAGTTAAAGTACCGCGATGCGGGAATCAGACTTTCGAAAGCTCACTTCCAACATACGACACCACTCCCAACGGGAATTGAAAAACTAAAAAAAAATTTATTAACTACTTGAAACAGCAAACTTTTTACAGTAATTTGGACTTCTCAAGGATTCTGAGAAAGAATGGAAATTTGACGCAAATCGAAGTCTTCACACTTTTTCAATCTCGAAAAACCAAAAAAAAAACATGAAAATTCACATCAATCCCTTTTCAAAATCATCACAAAATTACCGTAAACAATCTAATAGAAGGCCGCCCGAACCGCCACATTTGACCTCATATATCTCGGTTCCTGTACGAGATATCAAACAGTGGTCCACTGACAAAATCTTTACCATAATATCAAAAAATTTTTGTCAGTTGGCTATATGTTAATGTATTTCACAGGAACAGAGATAATTGAGCTCAAAAGTGAAAGTTAGCTACAAAACCACAACAAAACTATTACAGTTGCATAACAATTTGATATTTCTTTTTATCTTATCAAAGCCAATATTTCGGGATCTTCACCAACCTCATCATCAACATTCATTTTCTCTTGCTCATCCATCGTCATGGTCGTTTCTCCTTGCTCTTCTTCCATATCATGCTCCTCGCGTTCGTGCCTCTGCAACTCGTCCATACTGTGAAATGCACCCGAACAATCACGACACAAGTACAGAGAACTCATTCTGCAAAAAACGAAAAGTTAGGAACTTTGTTCATTTCACAAAAAAGCAAAGCAAATGAGAAACAAGCGGAGAATCATTTAGAACAAAAAACTCTGGGGGGGGGGCCACCATAGTCGTAAATGAGTGGTGGATGTGCTTGATTGCTTTCACATGTACTAGAAGCTGAAGGAAACGAAGGGCTTGGTCATTGTGTGCTCACTCACTTATTCAGATATTTGTTAGACCCCGCGATGGAGAAATAATAACTGGCTACCGATAATAAAGAGGTAAAGATGCGGGAAACCTAGAGCAGCAGGTACTTGTGAGATGTTTGGATGACCCACTGCCATACCACCACACCCATTTCCACTCTTTGCTTGCTTCCTTCGATGCTCTTTTCATGATGACGAGAAGCGAAAAGAAGAAGAAGAAGATACAGTAATCTAATCCACCTACTTCCCATGGGGTGATGATGGAAACTTAGAGAAAAAGTTGGCGTTTTTAGCGTTTTTTGTTTGCGTGACTGTTTGTATTAAGGGGTTGAAAGAAAGCAAACGGACAGTAGCAGATAGACCGAACGAGTAGAGGAGCAACACGAAAAAAGTTTTAGGAAAGAGAATTTTCTTTTTTTGTTAAAGGCTTGAGTTTCATGGGATGAGCAAGTAGGTAGACAAGCAATGGCTAACCGAGAAGAGTGGGAAGTTGAATGAGTCAGTACAGACTGTACTGTACAGTACTCGAGTCTAGGAGAAGAACACTGTATTTATAGTCGTACTAGCACTGGAACATGGTAAGCAAATAAGATGTGTTGTTTTGGTTACAGTATACCAAGTTTTCGGTTTCACAACTACCTGATATTTGATGATTTTCTCTTGTTAATAATAGGCATTGAGAATGACATGTTGTATGCATGGAAGAGGCAGGAGTGGTATGCAGCAAACCGGACTCCAGTTTCAGAACAACGGACATCACCTTTTCGGCCTATTTCAGTTCTTTCCTTATTATCGTAAGCACTCTAACAGAAGACCGCCCAAACCGGGAACTTTGTGCTTATATATCTCAGTTCCTGTAAAAGAAAGATATCGAAAAGCGGGCAACGGAGAAAATGTTGGTGATGCTATGATAATAATTTTGTCAGTTAATCACTTTTTGATATCTTTCACATTAACTGAGATATAGGCTCAAAGTTGGCGGTACGAGTGACCTTTTACAATCGTGAGTACGGCGATCCTAATTCTGGCTAACTTTGAAAACAACAAATTTTATGAAAATTTGGGTAGCTCTCTTTTAGAGTGTTCACGGTAAATTCCTACTTTCTAAAGTTAGCCCGCCCCCTTATCCATATATCCATGACCTTTTCCCCCTCCCACCCTACATCCGTTCATCTTCCTGCTCTTTTTTCATCAAGAAAAATAAGAGTTCAGTGTCGTCCGGTGCCACCCATCTGGTCTTCAGAGGGGGCTCTCCCAGTTTTTTCACTTAGATCTCACACACTCATAAACCACCCCGCCGGAACAACTTCACTGGTTGGAAGGGTCCATTTCTTCCGTTCAAGAAAAAAAAGAGATAGAGGAAAATGAAAAAGATGTTGAGCCAACAAAAAAAAGAACATGGAAACGAGAGATTAGTGTTTAAGAAACCTATTTAAAATGGACAAAGTGCAAGCAGTGGAGAAAAATAACAAAAAATTGCGGAAGTATTGCATGTTAGCTTCTGAGAAAACGAGGAGGAGGGGGTAAAAAAACTGGATATAAATGAGAGGTCAAAAGAATACCCACTGGTAACCAGTTGCTGCGCAGGCGGAGCATGCTAACTCCGGTAAGAACAACTGTTGTGGGGAGGAAGGAGATCAACGGTATGAGCACAAAAGGGGGCGGAGTCGGTACGAGATTCATGGTGGACAGGACATGGAAAGTGTGGGAGACCACTGAGCGGGAGGTCACGGGTAGAATTTTTGGAACTACATCGCAGATTTTGACCAGGATGCTTATAAAATTATAGTGAGAACAGGGTTTTGAAGTCGACATCCCTGGAAGTCTATTTCAGATTTGAAAACGAAAATTTCGTGGAATAAGTATGAAACGATATTTCAAGAATCATGCGAATCAGGAACAAACGTTTCTTGGAACATTAAACTCTTCAGGAAACAAACTGAACCTCAATACGATATGTGATCCGAAATCTATGCTAGGCATGACCTCGAAACGTCAAATAGATAAAACGCGAAAAAAAAAATTTCGGTAGCACATTGAATAGTGTCCTCTCGCGCGCTCAAGTTGGAGTCCATCTCAACCTTCTTGATCTTGATCTCCTCTTTTTTCGCGTGTCATGTCGTGAAAAAGCGCTGCTGGCTCCCATTGCGTTCCGTTCAATCTGAGCTCTCTCCCTACGTGATATGGTACTTTTGAATGGAAGAGGCACCGCCCGTTATTGAACCTGCGCGCCTATTCATCACGCGACAAACACACAGGAACTCGCGCGCGAGGCGCTGGCTCCCGTCGGTTACCAATTGGTCATGTCTCACTTCGCTGGAAAGAAAAATAGAGGCTTTTTCCGTACGATTCACACACTCTTCGGTTGAATTTCTTTCATACTGAATCGGAGTGCTTTTTTGTGTGTGTGAAAAGTCAGAAGGAGAGGAATCACGCACTAGGTATACAGGTGTAAACGATCAGAAGAAATACGTCGCTGATGGGAAAATTTGGGAAAAGGAGGACTTATTTTAAGAGTAACATTACTGGTCTTTGACTCTCTACCAGACTACAAAGAACCAGTCAAAAAGTACAATAATTTGTGGATTCCAGAGTAGGCGTATACATATTTCTACAAGTTATTGACCCAAACTAAATTCTTCCACACATCTTTTCTTGCCACAAAAAGAGAACCATACCACCTCCACACCCACAAATACATGCGAAAAGAAACACAACCAACACAATTTTGTTTATTTTTTCCACAATTTCCTTTTCTTCTTCTTCTTACTCTTCATCGTTTCTAAAATCTCCATCACGTCATTCCAATTGTGTATGAGCAGTAGCAGCCAACAGTGGGAGTCCGCAAGATTTACTCAACACCACGCAAAAAAGAAACGACAGTCTTCTTCTTCTTTCCTTAAAAACGGTTTTTGTTCGGTTTTCGGTTTCTCTCTTTCTCTCTCTCTCTCTCTCTCTCTCTCTCTCTCTTTTTTTCGAAAACTAACCAATAAGTTTTTTTTGAGAGAGAGAGAGAGAGAGAGAGAGAGAGAGAGAGAGAGAGAGAGAGACCTTCTCAAAAAACTCAAACACGCTGCTGCTTCTTCCGAATGAGAGCAAACCGAATGATGCTCAAGCACAGAACGGAAGCACCTCTGAGGAGGCTAACCGATGGTGTCGCTAGAGAATTGGGACTGTGTGTTTTTGTCTGTGTCCTTCGTTTAGCTCTTCTTCTTCTTTTTCTTCTTCTTTTGCGGGTAAATATTGAAAGGAACTGTAGAGGGATCGATAGACAGAGAGACTCGCTTTCTTACACAGTAGTTTGTTGTGATCATGTTCGCTAGAACAATCATCCAGTCAAGGGGTTCGAAAGATGAGAGAATTATAAAAGGCTCTGCAAATCGCGGGCGCGGCTGGTCGTGATTTATGCCGTATGTAGGTTCCCGTTGACCCACCTGTTCGTTCTTTTGAAAATAAGCTCAGCCACCCAGAAACTTCTAGAACCGCTAGGCCGCCCAATCCTACATATCCCAGAAATGCCTTATCCAAAATGATGAGACCGGCCGTGGCACAACCTTGGAATTATCTTTTGTCATGTGATAGGAACACTGAGATCCTATTTTTCGAGGCATTAAAAATATGTGATTTCATTTTTCAACCTCTTTCTTAAATTAACAGAAAGTCCAATAGCAAAAAACATCCATAATTTCAAAAATGAGTAATCAGAAACAGTAATTATACAAAATATGATACCGTATTTGCTCTAATAGAAGTTCAACCTATACGTACACATTGAGCTCAATTATCTTGACAATTTCAAACGACATCAAAAATCTGTCAACTGATAAAATGTTTGTCACAATATCACCAATATTTTATCAGCTGATCAATTTTTGAAATCTATCATAGGAACCGAGATAATTCATCTCAAAGTTTCCATGTACCCTTTGTCTGATAGAATCCTACCTTATACGCGCACTTTGAGCTCATTTATCTCAGCTTCTTCACAATATATCAAAAAATGTTCAACTGATAAATTATTTATCATAATATCAACAATATTTTATCAGTCGACAGATTTTTGATATCTTTTATTGGAACGAGATAATGGGGCTCAAATTGCACTTCTATCAGAGCATTATCGGTATTTCACTAGATACCAAGTGGCTTTTTTCAAATTGGCAAGATTGTTTATAATGCAAAAATTCATGAAAACTTTTATGTGAAACTGTGGAATTGTATTTTGAACTTTACTCAAGAAGTGCTACTTTTTGAGTAAAGTTTGAAATTTTCAAGCGAAAAAAAAATCTAGGCAGTGTAACCAGATAATCTTTGAAAAGTTATAACGATTTCTGGGATGTTCGTAATACGAGAATTACGTCTAACTTACAGATCTAAACATATAGATCTAAACATATCAGATGCACTTGACCGTGTTTATCTCATAGGCTAACTCTGACCAGTCAACTAGTTATTTGTTATTTTTGCGGATCTCCCACAGTGGGTTCCTCTCAAGCATCTCTTTCCCTAACCCCGGATAGAATAACTGGTAATAAGAGAAAAAAGGGACAGGCAGATATAAACAAAATGGAGGTTTACTTCTCAACGTGGATCAGAATACTTGGTGTCTGCTGTTGGGTGGAAAAGGGGTTACACCATGTGTCAAGAGCAATTGGAACAGAAGTATGAGTTTTGTGGTAGGCAATAAAACACAAGTTTAGAAGATGAGCGATAAGTGTGACAGATCAGACTGGGAACAGGTGTCAGGGTGATAGATTAGAAATTTGAATTGGAAGCTGGCAACGGAATTCAAATCATGCGAAGTTTCT